ACCAGTTAAATTGATATCATCAGTGGAATAGTCCGATCTCTGACATTGCATCTTTCCCTTGCTTCCATTGTCAAAAATGCTTCATTTTCCTTGCTTCAGCTGAACAAACTGAATTTGAAAAAGCTTTTGTTTTGCATATGCGAAGTATCTCCACCAAAAAATATTTTGCATTAAAACACACAAAATATCTAGACATAGGTAAGGACATTAAAAAGCGAAACAGAAAAACCTCGGAATCCACGTGAAAGAGGCTGCTCTTGATGCTTTGAAAATGACTGAAATCTGATTTTGACTATAATAACCATCAATACCATGATATTAATGGCGCCATCATGGTGCCAGGACAACCATCTCCAGCTGAACCTTGGCAAGACCAAGGAGCTGGTGGTGGACTTCAGAAGGAGTCAGCACAGAGACTACAAGCCCATTATCATCAATGGAGCTCCAGTGGAGAGGGTGCAGTCCTTCAAGAATCTCGGTGTCCACATCTCCTCAGACCTGACATGGTCTGCCTACATTCAGCTCCAGACCAAAAAGGCTAAGCAGCGCCTGTACCACCTACAACAACTGAGGAAGTTCTGGCAACACACTGTTCCAACTTCTGCAATCCGGTAGAAGGTTCCGCATCATCCGGGCAAGGACAGAGAGACTCCAGAGGAGCTTCTATCCCCAAGCCATTCGGGCCCTAAACCAACCCCCCCCCTCCCTTACACACACACACCCTCTCACATCATCCATAAGTGACTGAGACAGGACTCTCTTCTAGACACTCTAAACCCACCGGCACAATGCACATTTCAAATTCCTTTAATTTTAAATATGTTCATTTTGTCTATTTTGTAAAATAGTCAGATTGTCTATTCTTATTTAATTCACTTAGTGTACAGAATTCACCTGCTTGCTGCATACATGCTAGTACGGCACATTCACCTAATGTATATATTATATATAATGTTCCCCCTCCCCTGTTGCACAAGTCGAGGAGCGTGTCAGGTTACATTTCACTGTGTGTTATACTTGTATAACTATGCATGTGACGAATAAAGAACCTTGAACCTTGTAAAGTCCATCTTGTATTTCAGTCTGAAATTCTTGGTGGAACCTTATGACTCATGGTTGGAGACACTGGTGTTCCAACTGTTGATTGCTCAGAAGAACTGGACAAATATTTAGAAAGCCAGGCCCCTGGATTTCCTGGGCCTAGCTAACACTTGGAAAGCTGGCTGTGCACTAATCCTGGTTTAGTTTAAACCATAGTTTAGTTTTTCCAGCGTTTTCCCAGAGAAAGCCACACATCTCTTCCCTAACATGCCCAGTCTCATTTTCTTTGGCCGGTTACACAAAGGTAGTTAGACAAACATGACCCCAAACACTTCCAGCTGTAAAAACGGTCAAATTGCCGTTTGCCCCCATTTCTTTCTATACCACACAAATGTAACAATAACAATAATAGTTCTAATAGCCTTTTGACATTTTCCCCATACATAGCAGCCAAACATCCATCTGAGTCACTCCGCCCAGGTTAATTACCTTTTCAGAAACAGAGGCGAAGCCTTTGGTAGGGTGCTGGGTCCTCATGTCAAAAACGTGGAATTTTCCCTCCAGTGAAGTGGCCACCAGCTTGTTCATGTTGATGTCTTTCCTGTCAAACTCCACACAACATACCTAGTCAAGAAAAAAAAAAATAGAAATGAGTCGCTCCCTGGATATTTACCACATGGCAAAGCTCCATCACAAATGATTTTACCATGCAGTAGAATGTGTTGAACTTGGCATAATGACTTCTGGCAGGTTTATACACAAGAGGAACTGAATGAAAGAGACGGCAATGTAATAAAATCAGAGCAATTCTTTGTACTGCTTATGGCATGTGAGGAAGTATTCACCTCAGACTGCCCTGTTGTTTTATGTGCAGTGTAAATGATTTGGGAAGTCATTTTCAGCTCTGTCTCCACATTTTACACCGTTTTTGTCTGCATTATAGTTCAAAATCTGTTATTTGTGCAAAGGAAATATTATGTGCCAAAAGAATTCAACCCTTAAAAAAAGCATTAGCTTTAACTATTTTGATTCATGTTTGGTTGAATCAGAAAAAAAAAAAGTAGAAAATGTATATATGCCACATACTGACAATTTTTTCTTTCACCTCACCCCATTTTTAATGTTCGTTTCCCACCGTAGAGACATATTCCGCAGATCGAAGAGTTTGATGTCACCATTGTCATATCCAGCACAAACACAGCGGTCCTGATCATTAAAGGCATGACCTGAAATGTAAATGTAAAGGATATTTTAAGCCTGGGAAAGATCATTGAAAACAAACACAAAGGCACAACATAGGTTTATGGCTGCATTTTCATAGGTGTTCATGCTCATGTGCTTTTTTTTTCACTGTACCATCTGTTTGCACCTTTTGTGTTTGGAGGGCATGGATCAGGATGTTCTTAAAACAGTATACATGAAAAACAGACAAAAAAAATATTTTTGTTTGTCATGTCTTATCAGTTATGTGCAGTGCATTACAGCAGCTTTATTTATGGTGGCTGATAGGTTAGCATTGTTGCTTCACAGAGTGTCCTTTGTCTGACCCAGAACAGGGTGCTTCTCTCTGGAATTTGAATACTCTCTCCTGACATTGTACCTTTGACCAAGGGACTAGCTGGAATTTGGGCTATGTTCTGCTGTTTAAAATTCAGAGAAATAATCCCCTTTACTAGGTATAAATAAATCCCTCAAATTGTACACAATAGAATATATGATAAATATTTTTTACTGCTTCTTAGTATTAATATAACCTATGACTGTATTAGTTCTTATCACTATCCCCAAAAAAATGCATTACAGTCCTGTCCCCGTGGATACAGATAAAGTGGAGAGCATGTTTTTAAACTTTACTTGTGGATGTTGGTACTTCGGTCCTCAAGAAAATAATGTTCTGTGAGGATCCTGTTAAAGGGCACAAGCTGTAACAGTGTCCTTTATACTACCACAACTATTGCAGGAGCCTAAACCTATTCAGACTTCATGTTCTTTTCTGCACACCATGGAAGTAGGGGAAGCACCAGCACTACCAACTTAGTTTCTGAAGAATATTTTACAAACCAAAAGCAACAGTCCAGCAGTCCCTCTTTGTTTCTCCTTCCATTGGCTCCATGTTGGCTACAGGGGAATCCTTCTGTCTGGGATCCCACACCTTGACTGTACCTATTAAAATACAATCATGTAGGATCTAGTCTTATTTTCATGTACTTTACTTTCCCACTATCATTGCACTGAAAAGTAATTACAAACTAGTTTGTTTGTTTTTTTAAATGCTCTTACCATCTCTGCTTCCGGTGACGATCTCAGGCGCACCATCACCAATCCCCAGACCACCAACACCATCAATACTATTCACTATCTCTTTGTGTGCCTTTACAGCATATACGGGCACATCCGGGGTCTCTAGATTCCTGTGAACCACAGGACATCCGTACTGAATAAGTCTAATGTCGACGTAACAGATTTT